GAGTTCGTGGGACGTCGCCGAGCTCAACGTGTGCAGATCGCCGAGGTGCCGTACGTTCGGTACTAGGATCGATCGATCGTGAAGATGTAGGACTACATTAACCGCGTTGTCATAACACTTCCGCTTACGGTCTACGAGGGTACGTGGACAACACTCTCCCCTCTCGTTGCTATGCATCACCATGATCTTGCGTGTGTGTAGAATTTTTTTTGAAATTACTGCGTTCCCCAACAGGTGGCCCGAGGGAGGGGTCGCGGTCGCAGTCGCGCGTGGCTGTCATTAGAAGCTACGAGCGATTTTATTTTGCGACAGCCGCCCGCGATGTTGTATATCTGCCCGACTAGCTGTATTCTTGCAGCCTCACGAGTGATATTTTTATGCCCTTCACGTTGTTGTTTAGACCGGATTATCATAAAATATCTGAGAAAAACACTCTGATATTGCCACTGATGACTAATGAATGCGAGAGATCGTGAAATCCTTTCTTTATTTTGTTTCTACCGGAAAAGAGGCCATACTTAGATAAAAAAAATCATCATATATATGGAAACATGCAAAATGGGGAAGGAAAGAAGGAAATTGGAGACGCAACTCATGATCCAGAGCGCAAGATAGGGTCTGATAAGAGCGCGTCTGCTCGTACCAGGTGCTGGAGGCTCCATGGCGTCCACCCCCAACAACTTCTGTAAAGGGGGCAACACCAAAATCCCGAGGGAGCACTGTTGAAAACCACCGTCCGCGAACCAAAAGCCATTCTCCAAACCAAACCGTTGTCATTTTCCATCTCATCTCTATAGCCACCACCATCAACAACACCTATAGCAAACTACCTCCAAATTAGTCATACTTGTAATCGTGCATCGCATCCAACAACCATTATAAAACATATTATCAATAAAGCATTCATCTTTATGTTTTGTCCAATGATTTTTTTTCTTGTGATCCGATCACCATGTGTGAATAATTCAGTAAGTCAATGAGTTGAGGCATAGACTTGCAACCCAATGTATTTATATGAGGGGCCGGTGGAATTGATGTTGAATTAAAGTCTTGTAAGTGTTAGAATTTCTACAGTCGTCTCTTGTCTCTTTCTCGTTCTCCGACCTTGCATGTACCCAGGATCTCAGAGATTGATCAAGGAGGATGTTAGGAGCAAGGATAACGCGGAATGCTATTCCGAACAATAGTGATAGAAAGGATTAGTACGGCAGCTGAAAGCCAATTTCTTGGTGATTCATCAGGTTTAGTCATTAAACGCATTCTCGTCGGACTCATTAACTTCAAGAGCATTATCATCAAACTGTGTCTGGGAGACATTTTTTTCAGTACTTTGAGAGGCGTTCGTCGAAGTTTGGAGGACAGAGGCGGCGTTGTGGTTTCGAGAGAGAGAGGAGGCGCACAAGTTGTGAATAGTCGGGAACCGCTCAAGGAGGACGATGGTTGTATATATTGCGAGGAAAAATAGCCTAACGTGAAATTGAACGGTTCACATCCATAGCCCCTTCAGATTGGGTTGTTGTTTTTGTCCAGGGAGTGTCTAGGCTGTCCGCCCGAGTGTATAGGGGAGAGTGGGGCCCAATTGGAGATGCTCCTAAGCCCCATCTTTTTCCCTCAACACATGGTATATTTAGCAAGATAATACAGAACCACAACAATGCTGAGACAACTACAAAAAGCCTGTTTCCCTCTACAATTCCTCTAAAACCGACCTTTTCTATAACTTAATCCGAAGAATCCTGAACAGCATAACAACTATGTAGAAGGATTGTTCTATAGTTTTCGGGTCAAGAAGTAGCATGATAAGTACACAGATGCATTACCGGCAATAATCTGAGCGAAGCGAAATAATAACCAAATGCTCTTTCAAGAAACTATAGCTAATGTAAGATATTTAATAGTTAATACTTGAGGATTGCTTTAAGATTATTTTCTGGCTTGGTGCTTTAAACCGAATTACAACACAAGATCCGAATTCCAGATACACAACATCCATACTTTACATTCAATTTTCAGTTTTGAGTGCAAAGTAGACATCAGTGCTAATGACCGAACAGAACGAAGAAACACAAACATCTAGTAGAGATGTTTTAAGGACTCAAGTAACCTACCATTGTAGTGATCAGTCGCTACAAAACAGGGCAATGGTGATGATGCCTACCACAATCGGCTCATGTCATTTGGTCATTTTCGACTTATTCTCTCGGTAGCCTCATCCACACCGTTTTAGTTGGTGCAGAGGCATATTTTTGAAAAATCTGGTGTGTTAAGGTGGAGTAGTGCAAGTCAGAGGCATATTTACCATTTGGAACACCAATGACTTTATAATCCAGCTGAACGTAATGACCTGAACAACAATGATATTTGACCGCAATAAGAGATTTTGAAGAATATTTTCACCATACTCAACCGCAACAACTTTTTATCCTGCCATTTTCTCGGACAACAGCCGCTCTATGGCACACCTAAAGGCCATTTTTCCCACCACACAGTATATACTACAACAGTTGTGCTTAACAGAAACTACAATACTAAAACATCCCAAAAAAACTACTAAACCGGTTTCCCCTATAATCTTTTTAAAACCTGTTTTTCTAAAACTGAATCCAAAATTCTGAACAACCCTTAACAGCATAATGAGTGGGACTCAACAGGATGGTGAAAAGTTGCGGCGCAAAATGGACAGGGAAGTTCCTTCGCTCACCCTTTTTGGAAAATATTATGGAGACTCGGATACCTGCAAAGGTGAAGATTCCATGCTTCTGCATTATCACGAATAGTCATATGATGGACTCTGCACTATGTCATGTCTGCGGAAAGGATGCCAAAGCTATTCAACATGTATTTCTTATGTGTGAACTGACAAAATCTGTTTGGAAGGAACTTGGGATCGAAAAGGTGGTAAATGATGCCCCTGGGTCCACTGTACTTGAATTTCTACTATCACCCCAAATCACAGGAGCAGTACCTGGGCACTGTAGCATTTCAGGATGTTGTCGCTACAGCCTGTTGGTACGTACGGTGGAAGAGGAGGCAGAAAAGGAATGGCGAGTGTTGCAGAACCCTTCCAAATCAGTGATGCCGACCAAGTGTTGGTGACAAGCCATTTAAGATCTACCGGAACAAACCAACACCTCCAAGGCGTAGTGGTTAGAGGAAACCACCCCATGGTATTCTTTTACTGAATGTTTATACTGGCTACTCTTATGAGGCCGGGTGAGGATGCAGGTGATTTTGTTGCTGCTTCTATTGCCTCCTGAATCCTTGACGCCAATACAGCTGAAGATATCGCAGTCCGTTAGGGCCTGACTCTTGCAAGAAATCTGAACATTCATTCTATAATCATGCAATCAGACTGCCTTGTAGTGGTTCAGGAGATGATAATCTGCACCTATCCTCTATGAATGCAAGGAGCTGATTCAGGGCTCTGGGAAGGTCAAGGAATGTCAAGATTGAGCATTGTGTTCAGGAAGCAAATTTCGTAGAGCATGAGCTAAGTTATTGTGGCTGGAGGATGATGCCCGAGATTCTATTTTGCAACTTTTTGTGGATGATATATCTTGTGTTTAGGTAATAAAGCTAACCATAATGGTCTTCACAGGAAAAAATATACACAGCTGCATGCATTACAGCTAGTATTTAGAGAGAAAGTATAATGGTCAATGCTTGAGGATTACATGTAGTTTTGCTTTTTATTTTTTTGCTTAGTGCTTTAAACTGTATAACAGATGATGCAAAATTGGATGGTCTAGATAAAACGTGTAGATGCATGGTAGTAGAATTACAACTTTCCCATGGTCCCAAGGTCTACATACACGGCTCCATACTTTACATTCAGTTCTTCAGTGCAGAAATACAGATGAGTGGTAATAACCAGATAGAACAAAGCAACATAAGCATCTAGTAGTGATGTATTAAGGACACATGCAAACTACCATTCTAGTCATCGGTCGCTACAAAAGAGGGCAGCTATGACCAGCTGCGCCGTCACCAGCTCTTGTCATTTGGTCATCGACTCAATAATTAAACTAATACACAATGGATAAGCAAGGTGTGTGGATGTGCAGTCTAAATACTACTCCCTCCGTTCACTTTTATAAGTCGTTTCAGACAAGCAAAATTAAGCTGTTTTGCACAATGTCTGAAACGCCTACAAAGCCTTATAAAAGTGAACGCCTACAAAGCCTTATAAAAGTGAACAGAGGGAGTACTACTTTCTTTTATCTCGCAAGGAAAGAAATTAACTGTTCTAGCTACTCACATGAGTAGACTGAATGTGATTGATAAGTAGCATTTTTGTTCTGGAACATAAATATGCAGACATACATAGATAAGTAGCATAACCATTAGTACGTACTACAAATTTGGATGCCATATATGATAAAAGTACCAAATGCATTACTACTAAATTTCCATGACCATATCCTTTGCCACGTCCCATTCAGCCGGGAGAATTCTAGCTATCAGCTCCTTGAGAACCAATGGGCAGCTGGACTTGAGATGCTCATAACCGTCGGTTACCATCATAGCCTTGAAATTGGAAGGAGAAGCAAGGAATTGCAAACAAGCTTCTTTGAGACGATGGAAACCATGCTGCTCGGCCAGAGCCAAACTGGTGGCCACCATGCCGGAATCAATTTGATTGCACAGTTTCTGCTCACATATCTGCTTCAGCCTCTCAATATTGTACCTGTCAGCCGCCACTAGCAGATGGCCAGCCATCACCACATCAAGCACTGGAGAGACTGAATCGGTGTATATGAAGTTGAGCAAAGATTCGAACACATCAGCTTCCATGTCACAAATTTCAATAGGACTAGCTGCAGAACTCTCCTTCATGGCGCCAAGGAGCTCCGCCTTGAAGACGGATGACCGAGCAGAAAGAACGCACCTGTGAGCGGAGAATGTCTCTCTGCCGACCTGAATGGTGAGGTCTGCGGCATCCTTATTCTTGAGGAGGTCTCCGAGATGCTGGTGCAGGTCGCTTGGAGGAACCCTTGTTTCTTCGTCGTGGATGACGGTGACATCGCACCTGATGGTGAGACAGTCGTCTCTTAGATGCGCCGATGCCTCCAGATCAGCCTTCTTGATGAACTCATTGTAGCCCCAGTTTGTAACTTTCCTTGAGAAGGTGCGTGTAGCGCTGGAGGTACGGCTGTATGAAGGCACAGGTTCTCCATTCTTGTCAAGTAGACTGAGCGTGTATTTCACCTTCACATCTTCGGCATTGGCAGATTGAAGATATAGATAAAGAGATATTGAATCGGCATAATCCTTATTGCAACCGTTTGGGTAATATCTCACGGCCCAGTTATAGCCTCCAACACCGAAATGGGCAGAAGTCCTCCACTCGCCGTTCTTGAGTAGCGCCTTGGCTCTAGAGTATCCATCTACCTTGAGCACACACGACTTCTCCTCAGATCCAGCTACAATGGCAGCAGAGATCTTGCAATGCTCTGCCATTCTGGTGGTGGGCTTGCTGGTTTAGCGTGGAGTAGGATGGAAGAGTGGTGAGGAAAGAATTTGCTGCGCCCATCTATATATATAGAAGATTGAAGAACACTTGGAACATAACTCCATTTGTTTCACATTGAGTCAAACAAAAACAGTGGCCTGCTGGCACCTCCATCTAGATATCTGCGCCTGCTGCCATTTACTACTCGTTTACCTTCACGAGGAGACTCCGCTGCACTCGAAACGAAGACAGTAGGCACCAGTGCACCCAAAACTTTTCATCTGCCGATGCAATGCATGCAAACATTACTCCACGTCAGTCAATATGTGACCCAAATCGACAATTTTAACCTTTTTTTGGGGTGACAATTTAACCTTTCAATACACAAACAAATCTTTTCATCTCCAGATGCTGCGCCTTCCACAAATGGCACGATGCATTTTTGTCAACAAAATCAGCAGCAAAGAACCAATTAGACAGGTTCATGTTCACGCGACTAGAAAGTATATGGAGGTGATTTTCTGAAACAGAAAGCACTGATATGGATTGCAAATTTTATGTGTTGTGGGGCGCCATCTATACGATCTGCAGTGTTATGAAGGTGGTATAGGTCAGATGCTCATCGACTATTAGGGGTACCAATGATAGTGTAATCCAACTGAACGTAACGACCTGAACGCCAATGATACTCGACCACAACAAGAGATTTTGAAGAAACTTCTCACTGTACTCCTCCATTTTCTCAAGACAACAACCACTCTGTATTTAGCAGACAACAGAACTACCACAGTCGTGCTTAACACAAAACTACAATAACCCCTTTTCCCTTTAAAACTGAGTTTTCTAAAACTAAGTCCAAACAACTACCAACAGCATAACAAGTGCACAGCAGCACTACCAGTAACGTTCAGAAGGAAATAGTAACCCCCATCACAAGTACTCCCTCCGTTCGGAATTACTTGTCGCAAAAATGGATGTATCTAGACGTATTTTAGTTCTAGATACATCCATTTCCGAGACAAGTAATTCCGAATGGAGGGAGTAGTATATTAGCTAACAGAGGATATCAGTAATCAAAGGCTTGAGGATTACATGCGGTTTACATTCAGTTTTTCAGTGCACAGAAGCATTTTACATCCAGTTTTTCAGTGCGAACGTAGGCACGAGTGCTAACAACCTGACAAAACGAAGTAACACCATCATCTAATAGTGGTGTTTTAAGGACCCACACAACCTAGCATTGTAGTCAGTCGCTACAAAACAGGGCAACGGTGACGAGAAGAAGAACCATTCTACTCACCTGAACATATATTAGATTAAATGACTAATACCAACAATTTTGTACAGAAACACACTAGCAGTCATACATAGAGAAGTAGCATAAAGATTACTACGAAAATTTGGATGACATATAGATAATAGTTATGTAGGCATTACTTCCACATTGTCATGATAATATCCTTTGCTGCTTTCAGTTCAGCCGGGAGGATTTCAGCTACGAGCTCCTTGAAAACATATGGGCAACTAGATTTCAGATGTTCATACCCATCACTCGCCATCATCCCCTCCAAATTGGACGGAGAAGCAAGGAACTGTAAACAAGCTTTTTTGAGAGCATGAAAACCATGCTGCTCGGCTAATGCCAAACTAGTTGCCACCATGTCGGAATCAATGTGACTGCACAATTTCTCCCCGCATATCATCTTCAGCCTCCCGATATTGTATCTGTCAGCCGCAACAAGTAGATGGCCGGCCATCACCACATCAAGCACAGGAGGAACTGTGTCGGTGTATATGAAATGGAGCAACGAATTGAACACGTCTGCTTCCATGTCACAGATTTCAATAGGACTAGCTGCATAACTCTCCTCCATGGGGCCGAGGAGCTCCGCCTTGAAGACTGATGACCTGGCAGCTAGGACGCACCTGTGAGCGGAGAATGTCTCTCCGCCGACCTGAATGGTGAGGTCTGCGGCATCCTTATTTTTTAGAAGGTCGCCGAGATGCCGGTACAGGTTGCTTGGAGGAACCCTTGTTCCCGCTTCATAGATGACGGTGATGTTGCATTTGATTGTAAGACAGTCATCTGTCAGATGCGCCGATGCCTCTAGATCAGCCTTTTTGACGAAATTATCGTACCCCTCGCCAAAACCTTCCCTTGAGAAGGTACTCACAGTTTTGGAGGTACGATTGTATGAAGGCACCGGTTCTCCATTCTTGTCAAGTACACTGAGCGTGAATTTCGCGTTCACATCTTCGGCATCGGCAGTTTCACAAAATAGATAAACAGATATGAAATCAGAACAATCCTCAAGGTAGCCGTTTGGGAAATACTCCACGGCCCAGTCGTGGCCTCCAACGCTGAAAGGGTCAGAAGTCACGCACTGGCCGTTCTTGAGTAGAGCCTTGGCTCTTGAGTATCCATCTACCTTGAACACGTACGACCTTTCCTCAGATCCCGATACCATGGCAGCAGAAATCTTGCATTTCTCTGTCATTCTGGAGGTGGGCTTGGAGTAAGACGGAAGTTTGGCCAGAGGAATGATCAATTTGTTACCTCTATCTATCTACTCATTCCCGCCGCTGTCCAGTGATGTCGCCGGAAGCACGGCCGCCGCCGGCGCTAGGGATTGGAGGTGGTGGCACCGGGGGGGGGAGGCAGAGCCTGGGGCGGGGATTGGAGGAGGGGGAGCTCGACGGCGGGAGCTCGTGGCGCTAGCGGAGGGGAGAAGGGTGGCGGCGGGAGCAGTAGAAGGGAGAGAGAGGACCGAAGAGTTAGGTTTTCTTCCGGTTGGTTTTTACCAGACGCTGTGAGATAAACGGACGGCCGAGATCGGCTCCGGGAGGAGACCAGCCGGCCGAGACTGCATTCGCCCCGATTAGGTATTTTGTGAGAACCAAATCTTTGTCTTTAATATGTGCATCTTCATGCATGAAAACTACTATGTTCCAAACATGTCCAATAATTTTGCTTTTCACTAAACATGTTCTTTGGCAAGTTGCTTATGATTGTCTTCCATTTGGGGCTCAGTTGCAGCGGCGCCATGTTCCCGACTCTACGAGTTGTTGCTTCTACGGTCGTCTGGAGAGCATGGAACATGCTACACTTTTTTGTCCTTGTGTTCGGGCGGTCTGGGACGCGATCAAAGCATGCTCTGGCATCCAACTATGTCAGCCCTCCTTCAGAAACACAAAACAATAGCTCTTTGATTTCTTCTCAAGATCTCTTGACAAAGATGCCACGATTATGGTTGTGTCTTTATGGCATACTCCCTCCGTTCCAAAATAGATGACTCAACTTTGTACTAACTTTAGTACAAAGTTGAGTCATCTATTTTGGAACGGAGGGAGTATATGGGAAGCTCATAATGAGACGCGTCACTCGTCTGATATTCCCCAGCCTAGCCATACGGTGGAGAAAATTCATGCATACATTGATTTTATTATGCAACACCCTTTTTAACTCTGAATCAGTCATCAGGCTTGAGTCCTTTTCTTCCAACACAATGTGGACTCCGCCGCCGTCAGGTGTTATTGCCATCAATTCGGATGTTACTGTATTTTCAGATATCTACATGTCCGGGGCTGACACTGTGGCCCTAAACCATGAGGGCACTTGTGTTGCCGCACTCACCGAGCCTCTTCAAGTTGTACTAGAACCTGAACTTGCGGAAGTTATGGCTCTTCAAAGGGTTGTGCAACTAGCATGGGATGCACACTTCTCCAATGTGATTTTTGCTACAGATTGCCAGTCACTTGTGAATAGGATTAATGCTAGCACCCTTGACCGTTTCATCATCGGTACTGTGGTAAATGATATCAAGGTTGCTTCGAGGATCTTTGACTCTGTGGTGTTCAACCATGTTCGTCGGCAAGTTAATGTAGCTGCTCATATTTTAACTAAGTCTTGTAAGAATTCACCTAGTCTTGTTGTTTTTCATTCTACTCTAGAATGTATCCGGGACCTCTTTGTAACTTTGTTTTAAGTAATCAATAAAGTCGACATTTCTCTCAAAAAAAACATCTGACAAATTAACGATCACTTTTTCTCTAAAGCTTCAAAAACATCTATATTAACGCCCAACAAAATACCTCCTAACAAACCCTAGCACGTGAAGAGACCCAAGAAATGGATTGCCATGACTTCCTAGGGAAACAGTAAGTAAACTCCTATTTCTTAATTCCCAAAAGGCCAACAAAACTAAGACTGAACTCGATGGCCACTGAACCACACGAAACGTAACTCCCGCTAGCTCCCGCTCCCTCCGCCCTAGCCTCCTCCCGCCGCCACCGGCCGCTGGCGCGCGCGCCCCAGCCCGCCCCCCCTCCACGGCCCCCGTTCGCTTGCTCCCTCCCCCCTCCCCCCGCGGGCGGCGGGCGAACCCCCCACTCCTCCCCTCTCCTCCGCCCCTCCTCCCCGTCCTTCTCCCTCACGCCACCGCCGGCTTGGTCCGCCAGGCCCTGCCCGCGGGGCACTGCCGGCGGCAGGCCGTTCCTTCCCTGCGCACGCATTGGGGGCGCGCGGGCTCCCTAATCACGGCGGTGCTGCTCGGCCGACAGCGGTGTGGCTCGGCAGTGGTCCCGTGGGCCATGGGTGCCCTTGGCGCGATGACGCGACCGTTGGTCGCGGGCGGCGTGGTGGTGCTGGCGGCTGGTGGCACCCACTCGGCCCAGATCTGGGCCCGTTAGGGCTCGATCTGGGCTGGCGCGGGCCAGCGGCTCGGCGCTGTGGCGTTGCTCCCTGGTGGTGGCGAGGTGTCGGTCGGCGTGCTACAACATGGGGATAGGGACTGTCCGGACCCATGTGGGTCCGGCCGAGCCGTCATGGCCTGGCAGTCCCTGTCGCCGCGTCCGGCCGGCTCTGCGCGAGCGATGGAGGTTGTCCCCTCCCGCCGATCGAGTTGCGGTTGCCCTCGTGGCCGTTGTCTCTTTTTCCTTCCCCCGTGAAAGTGCAACTATCCCTGGGTGGTTTTGGTAATTCCTAACATCATATAGCTCATTGAGCTAATGCTACTTCAAGATAAACATTTCAGGAAAGCTCAATGATTGGCATGGCATGGATGACAAAACTGGACCCCTCAAAATGCTAAGGACAAAAGATTGGCTCAAGCTCAAAGCACAAGACTCTACATTTCCGTTTTAAGTGATCCAAGATCACATTGAGTCCATAGGAAAAGCCAATACTATCAAGAGGGGTGAGGTGTTGCTTAATGAGTTTCTTGCTCAAAGTGCTTAGTTATATGCTCCAAAAACCCTCAACTACTTTCTCACTTCCACACATGTCCCAAACCAAAAATCAAACTCGGCCCACTGAAACTTCCTATCCGGCGCCACCGAGTTCAGTTGACATAGCCACTCCCAGAAACCCTAGTCTTTTTGGTCTCACCTATAGGGATCTCAGTCTCACCGAGATGGGATTGTAATCCCTCTGTTTCCCTTCGTAACATTTCGGTCCAACCGAGATGAGCGGATCGGTCCCATCGAGATTGCAATGCAAACTCACCTTTTCCCTTTCATAACGTTTCGGTCCAACCGAGATGAGCGAATCGGTCCCACCGAGTTTGCCTAACCAACTCTCTATTAGTCCATTATCAAAATCGATCTCACCGAGTTTGTGTAATCGGTCTCATCGAGATTACGTTATTCCCTAACCCTAACAAAATCGGTCCCACCGAGTTGACATGTCGGTCCCACCGAAAATCCCAACGTTCACATTTTGAACTAAATCGGTCCGACCGAGTTTCATGATTCGGTCCCACCGAGTTTGGTGATTTGTGTGTAACGGTTAGATTTTGTGTGGAGGCTCTATATACCCCTCCACCCACTCTTCATTAGTAGAGAGAGCCATCAGAACATGCCTACACTTCCAACATACATTTTCTGAGAGAGAACCACCTACACTTGTGTTGAGGTCAAGATATTCCATTCCTACCACATAAATCTTGATCTCTAGCCTTCCACAAGTTGCTTTCCACTCAAATCTTCTTTCCACCAAATCCAGATCCTATGAGCGAGAGTTGAGTGTTGAAGAGACTATCATTTGAAGCACAAGAGCAAGGAGTTCATCATCAACACTCCATTTGTTACTTCTTGGAGAGTGGTGTCTCCCAGATTGGCTAGGTGTCACTTGGGAGCCTCCGTCAAGATTGTGGAGTTGAACCAAGGAGTTTGTAAGAGCAAGGAGATCGCCTACTTCGTGAAGATCTACCCGAGTGAGGCAAGTCCTCCGTGGGCGACGGCCATGGTGGGATAGACAAGGTTGCTTCTTCGTGGACCCTTCGTGGGTGGAGTCCTCCGTGGACTCGCGCAACCGTTACCCTTCGTGGGTTGAAGTCTCCATCAACGTGGATGTACGATAGAACCACCTATCGGAATCACGGATAAAAAATCTCCGTGTCAACATTGCATTTGCTCCCTCAAACTCCTCCCTTTACCTTCATATACAATTGTTTTACATTCCGCCGCTATACTCTTAGAATTGCATGTGTAGATTGATTGCTTGACTTGTGCTAAGTTGCTAAAATCTGCCAAGAACTAAAATTGGAAAAAGGCTAGATTTTATTTGGTCAAGTAGTCTAATCACCCCCCCCCCTCCTAGACATACTTTCGATCCTACAAGTGGTATCAGAGCTTTGGTCTCCATTTACTTTGATTTCCATAGCTTTTGGTGGTCATAGCCTTGGTTTCACAACCTAGGAGAGTATGGCGTATAGCGAGGGAAATTACCACCGTAGAGGTCCTTACTTTGATGGTACAAATTTTGCTTGTTGGAATCATAAGATGAAAATGCATATTCTTGGACATAACCCCGCCGGTTGGGCTATTGTGTGTATTGGCTTGCAAGGTGAATTCTTCGATGAGAAAGAACCAAACCGTGAAGCTACCGCGGAAGAGTTAAAGATGCTGCAATACAATGCTCAAGCTTGTGATATTCTCTTCAACGGATTGTGCCCCGAAGAATTCAACAAAATCAGCCGTCTTGGGAATGCAAAGGAAATTTGGGATACTTTGATTGATATGCACGAAGGTGCCGACTCCGTCAAGGAATCCAAATTGGATGTGCTTCAAAGTCAACTTGACAAGTTTGAAATGAAGGATGGTGAAGGCGTCGCTGAAATGTACTCTAGGCTTGCTCTCATCACAAATGAGATTGTCGGCTTACGAAGTGAAGAGATGACCGATAAATTCATCATCAAGAAGATCCTAAGGGCCTTAGATGGAAAATATGATACCGTGTGCACATTGATCCAAATGATGCCCAATTACAAAGATCTCAAGCCAACGGAAGTCATTGGAAGAATTGTTGCTCATGAGATGTCACTCAAGGATAAGGAAGATCTTCACAACAAGTCAAGTGGTGCTTACAAAGCCTCATGTGAAGCTCCCACATCATCAAGTGAGAAACAGACCTTCAATGAAGAATTGAGCCTAATGGTGAATAACTTCAACAAGTTCTACAAGAGTAGAAGCAAGGAAAGAAGTTCCAAGTCAAGGTCCT